GAAAGTGAAAATTTATAAAAGTGGAAGTTAAAATGTTAATTTTAAAATTTATATCAAAATACAAATGATCTGGGATGTCAAAAATAATATCACAAAAACTCTAGTTGGGAACCTAATACCCTCTGATTTCAAGGCTTCCTAAAAACCTACAGTACTTAAGATAGGTAGTGTTAGCATAAGGGTAAACAGAAGTATACAGAATAGAATAGAAGGATCGAATAGACACATGTATATACATAGTCAATAAATTTTCTACAGAGGAACCAATACAATTTTTTTTTGGACAAACATGGATTTGGAAGGCAGAGACTGGTATTATGCTTGCAGCTATAGCCAAGGCAAAACTCATTGTATAGCACCAGCTACTCCCAAGTTGAGGAGAGAAACCACCAACTATTCCTTGGGCATGATGTAAGTTTAACTTGAGTCAATTCCTAAGTCACTACCAGTATAGTTGCCTGCCTGCTAGGATTGCCTTGCAACATGGACTATTTATCTAATTATCCTAGACTATAAACAAAAAAATAAATTTTCTTTCAGATTTTACTTACTAAAAATGTTTAATAGCTACTATAATTTCTTATCATAAAATAATAAGGATAGATATCTAGGATATGACACTTTCCAAAATCTCCTACACCTGATAAAATCATACATTGATAAATTTTCTGAGCTCTTCTAGAAATCTAATTTATACCACATACTCTTCAAAGTATAGAAAAAGTCTCACATAGTTTTACATTAGAAGACATGTATAAACCAGACCTTTCTACATTTGTTCTTTTCTGTTGTTGTTCAGTTATTTTGTTATTATAGAACAATTCAAAACTATAATGTGCATAATCAATGACATCGTTTGCAAAAATTCCAATATGTGCATAGACAACTAATTTGTTCTTTATTTCCATGAAACAAATTTACCTATCATTACTTGTTAATGACCTAATGATTGCAAACATACTAATTCTGACTAAATATTGAGTATGCATTCTGTTTAATGTCATTCTTTTCTGTGTTTAGATTTCTTTTAAATTAAAATTTTTATTTTTAGAGACCATAAAAAATAATACAAAGAGATCTTATATTCCCTTTACTACTTCCCTCTACCTATCAAATTACAGTATTTAATTATGATTTTCCAGGTCTAACTAAGAAAATGTCACATTTACACAAAATACAGATTTCACTTAATGTAATAGGAAACCACACAAAGTGGTATCTAACAACACCTTCTTTAAAAATTAGAATTCAATATCACAACCAACATAGTGACATTGCTAAAGTCAAGATATAAAATATTTTCATCACTACAAGACTCCCTTCCTCATGGTGCCATTTTATTGATTCTCTCCCTATCCAATTCTCTCCCAAACTCTTGTCAAAAAATAAGACGTTCTTGATTTCTAAAATTTTACTTATTAAGTATTATTAGTTAAATGGAATAACACAATATGCAATATCTAAAATTCATCTTCACTAGAATAATTCTTTGGAACATTTATCCAGCTAATTTGGTTTGTCAATATTTTGTCTTTTTGATTAATGCATACTATTCCATCATATAGATGTACCACAGCTTGTTTAACTCACTGAAGGATAATTTAGCTGTTTGCATTGAAAGATAATAGGGCTGTTTGCATGTTTCTGTAATTGTGACTAATACTGCCACATATATTCATGTATAAATTTTGTGAGAACAGAAGTTTTAATTTCTTTGCAATAAATGTCCAAGTGTGCAATTGCTGGGTCTACTTTACTTTCTTGTGGCTACCCATTTCCCATTTTAAGTGATCAATGTCTTCATATGTGTTAATCTTTTTTTTGGTACCAGGGTATGAACCCAGAGTTGTTTAACCACTCAGCCACATATACAGAATTTGTTTATCTTTTTTTTT